ATATTGTTGTGTATTGGTGGGGGAGATTACATAACGACAGGTTCCGATGCCTTTCAGGTGATAGGTTTGTTCAGATCAGGATTTTGGAAGACTGGAATGTCCCTTCTTTGCGATCCCCTTGCAAAAAGTCATATTCATAATGGATAGTTCAGGTTTATACAGTCTGTGGGTTTTGTGCTGGAAGAGGACAGACAGCTTTGTTATCAGTCCGAGGCCTATGTGATGAGGAATATTGATTGAATGTGGTTCACGAGTAATGTTTTAGATAGTACCTTATCGATAAATTGGTATCTGAGCGATAGTGTGCTGCCATGTCTCCTGACTTGCGTGTGTTACTACTTCCAAAAGGCTAAGAGTTTCCTGGTCTAAATCAGTTCCTTTTCAGATAGCTGGTCCGAGGGAGCACTTGTTATGATAGGGAATGATATTAAATTACGGGTCCTGTCGTTGTTGGTGTGTCCTTTAATAACTTGAGTTTGTTTGTTGATGTCTTGTTATATATCTGTGCAGAAGTGGAATACAATTATGTTGCGGTTGGAATTGAGAATTATAGTTTTGATATGTTCATTTTAGTGTTAGCCATTTTGTGCCACTTGCGATAAGATGTTGATTTTGGTTGGGGGTATCGGTAGGTTTATCCATTATTGGAGGTTTGATTTAGATTCTCTGTGGTAAGAATTATTTGTCTATGGATTATGTGGAATTAATATAGATTGATGAAATCATTGTTTAGAAATAAATATAAATTATCATAATTCCGGATATGTGATTTGAAGAGAAAATAAAATGCTCTTAGTGTCTGTAATGATCAGTTAAAGAACCCGTGGTTTAGCTGTCTCGGTGAGAAATTTTCTGCTGTAGGTCCATGTTGGTTAGGTGCCGGTGTCAGCCTTGAGTGGCATCAGAAGGTGGCATTCTCATCGATTGTTGGCTCAGCTTACGTAGAAGCCGAATATGTATGAGTGCCTTTTTAATATTTCTTCCTCAAAATATAAGAGCGCTCAATGTTGTAAGTTCCTGAAGATTTTGCGCTTAGTCTGAAGTATAATGTGTGAGGTGTCCACTTTTTTTCACAGAGCCTAGATGTTGTTCTGATCACTATGTGTATCAATCAGTATAGTCCATAATTAATTCTTGTGCAGCTAGTTGAGAAATATGTTTGTTATTGTCAATACGAGTGTCAATGCTCATATATATTTGTGTTATTCATCACTTGTGGGAGTATTTCCATATAATTAAACATCCTTCAGGGTGCCGTATATTTTATACATGTTGGAAATGTGGTTAAGAGTTTTCTCTGTTAATCTGCCTTCTCTGCCGTCGGAATATGCCATGATAATGATTATCTTTTTGTGGTTGATATAGTTTTGGTCGTTGTTGTTGTTGCTAGTGTTTTTATCGTGTCTCCCCTATCTAAGAACAGGGAGAAGAGGTTGTATCTGTCATACTATAAATATGTGTTTCTTAACAATATGTAAGGTAAAGTGTTTCCAGTATGTTTAAGTGCCATTTTAAAAGTATGAAGTACATTTTCATGATTGTCGTGTATTACGCAATTGCAATTACACGATTGGCCAAGATAATTGGCACATAAAATGTTCATATTGTACCATGCCTAATGGTAAGACACTTAGTGATAAGCTATATTCATCTGCAATTTAAATGAGTGATCACAGAGAGCCACACAGCCCCCTGCTCAGAATTAAGTCATTGTTTTCAATCTTACTGTTCTTTCATAGCCAAACACGTGGACCTGAAGATGCCGGAGACAACAACCCAGAGTTCAAATAAACTGTGAGAGATGATATCCTAACCAGTTGGACCAGAGAACAGAAAGGCACTGGTGTCACATGCACAGGTAGGAGCCTGATTATTGGTCACAGGTTTCTGTTTCTGGAGCTGCTGGTGTTTTTCATTAACCATTACAAGCTCTAGCTACAACCCTTTCTGCTGTAAGACTGTAGAGTACTGTAAAACTTCAATTAATCGCCCGGCTTTGATTTGCTTCAATCCCTAAACTCCTGTACTCCTACTCCTAGTTCCTATATTTGGAACAGGCATCTATATGGGACAGGCCCAATATGAATATTATTTGTGAAAACAAGCATGTGACAACATGATGCAGGAAGAAGATAAAATATTGTTTATGTCTTTGTTTTAACGAAGTCAGCAGACACAAGGTCTATTTTACTCTAGATATACTGAAATAATTTACTAAATGAACATCAGCTGTATGGGAAGAAGACTGAAACTTAGAAGACTGAGACCAGAAACTCATCAGCCCCCCCCCCCCCCCCCGGAAACTGTTTACTGAGTTCATAAATCAAGCCAGAAGCAGAGTCATTTTTCCATAAGACTGCATGGTATAGTTTTTTATAGCAGCCAATGGCGCTCCCCCTGCTGGCCTTTACATAGAATGCAGACACTTCCACGTTGGCTTCACTTCACAGACATGGAAGCTCTGTCCATTATATACTGTCAATGCTTAGAACTGCTCAAGTGGGCGACCCAGTGGGCTTTAAGATGTGTTACACATCCAAAGAACTTTGATAAAAACCAGACCTGACGTCTAATTGAGACCAGTGTTCATTGGTCAAAACGTGTAGCCACACCCGGACAGTCAAAGGGATTTTGCATTTAATTGGCGCTCAGCGTTTAATTGAAGTTTTACAGTATAACTACTGTTCCACAGTAATAACACATATCACTCAAGGTACCTGGTACTGCCGGTACACATTACAGCATCGTACATTATAAACCTAAATTAATACAAAGTGTACTAATAGAGTGTTGTGGTCATGGTCCCGTAAGAGAGCTTCATTGTTAGCACTTATTTCTGGTACCCCTTGCAGATGATGAAGAAAGTGTGTGCGGTTTAGGCGGAGAAACTAAAACTGTGACTTTGCACTGTAGTTATGAGGTATTCTGGCTTTGGTGATTTAACACCAACCATTTGGTTACATACAGGGTAGCACTGTTTCATTACAAAGAACAACAACAATACTTTAAAGCTAAATATTTTTTTGGCTTTTTAGTCTTTTGGTAGAAAAATAATATAGCTTGAGCTGAGCTAATAAGAGGGCTAACCAGCTATCAATGCTAACAGTTTGAGTTTAGATCAACATACAGTGAAGAAGAGCACAGTACAAGCACAGAGATGACATAACACTGGTTTCCTTAATCCATACTTATACATCAGTTCTGTTGTCGATTAGACATAAAGAGAACTGTTCAGTGGGAATTTACTGACAGCACGTTCCAGAGGTATGCAGTTATCTGTCTGGAGTGTTTCAGACTCCTGGATAACTTGTGTTTCAGCCGCCTCTGCAGCTGAATCATGCATGATTTTTTTTACATGTCTGTGTGTATTCCATGAGTGAATGTGCAGATTAGAAGAAATCCAAATTGCATATCGGGGAACTGGATTTCTGAAACACGTCCCTGGATGTCTACAGTGCATACAAATGTCTTTAGGACCGAGATAAATTGATCAGAACCAAAACTCAAAATCTTAACCTTCAGAGATCCCTTGTGTTTGAGTTTAGACTGCAGAGAGTAAAGCAATAGAAAAATCCCAAAGACATCAGCACTTTTGTGTCTGTGTGGCTACAGACGTTTTGGTTACAATGTATGTGTGTGTGTGTGTGTGTGTGTGTGTGTGTGTGTGTGAGACACCATGAGTGATGTGGGATTGATTGTTACAAGCATAATGTGTTATTGGTTGATTTTGATTGATTTGCTTTCTGTATCAATTAGATAGCATATTTGGCCTGAAGCAACAAAAAATATCCAAACATGTGTGTCTGTGTGTGCACATTCATAGAATCCAGATTGGAATTTGAACATGGTTCTTGGTCCTCAGTTTGCAGGCCCTGGGTCTGCCAAAGGCATAGTGTGCAACACCTCATCCAGAAGCTGCAGAGCGCGGTGCAGATGGACCTCCACCCAGCAGGGGGTGTGTTTGATGCTCTGCCGGGGATAGTCGGGGCCCCAGCCCTTCACAAAGCTGAGCCGCAGGATACACAGTCGCCGCAGGTCGTCCACGCCGATCCCCGCTGCTGCAGACAGACCTGTCAGCGGACAAGAGAGTGAAATGAGAATGGTGCTCACTATCAGAGCTCTGCTTCACCGGGGCGCAGTCATTCCTCGCCAAATCGCCCACTGTCTTAATGAGTTGATTGACTGACAACTGATCATGTCTACAGCAGCTATAAGGTTGATAAGGTCGAGCCCTTTAAAAAGGCACATGTCAAGTATGTTTATTTGTCATGTCATGTTTATTAGATGTGGAACACCATTTAGTTACATGTGGGTCATTTCACATCTGAAAAACTCATGTCAGCACAACAAAATGTCACTTACAAAGATGACAATTTGATACAGGCTTTGGGGAATGTTTAAAAAGTGGGTTGGATAGGAGATTCAAAAGTGATGGGGGGAGGGGGGCCACAATGAAGTAAAAAAAAAAACAAATTTAAATAGCATAGACAAGTAATATAAATGTTATTTGACATCATCTCTAGCAGATTCATTATGACTATATTGATAATTGCTTATATTGCTTTTCATAATGTAAAGTCACATAGTAAAAAGTAATGAAACATATTAAGTATCGAATGTACTAAAAGAACTGGCTCATACAAACCTATTACTTATTAAGTATCTGGAAACATACCAGGAAACTAGATGGTAATACAATCCAGGTATTAGTACAGTACCCATGCGGAAAGGATAGTATAGTAAGTACTACGTTATTACCTAATAAGTACATGGAAATGTATTAGGAAACTAGATGGTAAAAATATCCTCATTAAGAAAGTACCCACATACATGGTCATTAAATACTTACTACTATTTACTATTACATGTATTATATACAGTGAAGCTGTGGGACTTTTGTCATCCCTGAGTAGTCTCTGCAGGCTTCCTCACAAGCTGCATTCAGCTCAAACAACCACCACTAAGAACATCAGCTTGTATGTTGTCTGAGAGGCATTTAAACATTTTGATGAACTCAGAGCTTCTGAGAGGACCCTATGGCTCAGTGGTCTTTTACATAACATTCATCATATCAAACTGAAATTGCACTTGTTTTCTCTTTTTTACTGTATCTGACATCTGTGTAGTCTGTTACCTGTATGAACACAGTACACAGAGAGAATGACAAGAAATCTTACCTTGAACCTCAACACTTCACTGTGTCCTTTGCATTTTAAATTGGCTTCCAACCTGCATAATAGTGAATGTGAAATGAACAAAGTGAACAGCACTTACTAACTGCCGGTGCGATGCCTCCGACGCTGCCTGGACCGGGAATATTTCCCGCCACAGCAGCTGCCTGTGCAGCAGCCGCCGCCTGAGCTGTCGCCGCCTGCTGCTGCATCTGTCTGTGACACTGCCGCAGGTCGAACACCTGACCGAGACAGAGTGTACATTACAACAGCAGCACACTACAAGTTTGAAAATAGAGAATATATATGTGAATGTGTGTATGAAAATGTACTTTATAACCACGTTTCCACCCACAAGTACCCAGAACTTCTAGTCCAATGCAGGAGCTACTTTTCAAGGAACTAAAATGTTCCTTCAGCCTGTGTTTGCATTGTCTGTGTTCCCACTAAAGACCCACAAAGATTAGGCAAATGAGTCCACTGATGTATGAAAAAGCGACGGCTGCTTTTACACCTCATTTTTGCATGCAACTACACAATAGCATTGAACATTGTAGTCGGTCCATCTGTTGTACACTTTCTTCCGTAACTTCATTGATGTGTTGCAGCACAATGAACAAAAAACTAACTGGTTTGCGGCTGCAGATATTTCAAAATGGTGGCTGAAATAAAACGCTAAATAAAATTCTTAAATGGACTTTTTATGATGTAAAATAATGTCTCCGGAACTGAAGTTAGACCCTGGTCCCTGCGGTGGAACCCCCTGAGTCCCCCAAAGGCTCCTAGTCCCTGGGGGAAGTTCCTGCGGTGGAAACACAGTTTTTGTGTGTGAGCTGGATTCAGACCTTGATGTAGGCTCCGGGGTAGATCTTGTGCACAGCGTCCCCTGGTGCTCGGCCTGCCTCCCTGTCGAGGTAGTAGCTCTGTACAAACACAGCGTGGTCGCTCATACAGCGCATCCACACATCCCCCTCACCGCGACACTCCAGCTGCACACCTTTACCTATGTGTAACCTGGCACAAACAGGACAAAAACACCAGGATGAAGAGGAGGTGGAACAATCTGGTAAATGGTAAATGGACCTGTACTTGTATAGCGCCTTTCTAGTCTTCCGACCACTCAAAAGCGCTTTTACACTACGTG